CTGAATAAACGCGCGACTTCGACGCTACCGTTCCATTGTCCTTTGGTCCTCGATCCGGGAGACTTTCCCCGCCTCCGTTTTTATGCATTAACCTTTCGCCGTGCCGTTTACTTTACAATTATTCGGTTGACGAGGATGAAATTTGTAGTTAATAATATTGCCAACTTTAACAATTTCTTATTTGACACTGGCTTAATATTTTACCGTTCTGTTTCTTTCCTTGGAAAGTTATAAACAAATCTCGCTTGTTCGAAGAAATTATTTTAAGCTCTAAAAAATATCGAAAACTTTTTTAGAAATTAATTTTGATGAAAATGGAACGGTCGAAAATTCGCGCTATTATTAAGTATGAGTTCTTACGTGGAACTACGAAATAGGACGCGTGAAACATTAACACGTTGAATGCCACGCCGGTTTTACAGAAATTGTCCGTGGCGCCACGATGAATTTTCTTTTATGTGATACATATAATGCTGAAATATTATCTGCAATAGATAAGTTACAGTGTATAACCATGTTTGACATGTTAATTGCGACAGGGGTCACTGTTTGAATCGACGATGGTAATAATACAAAATTTTAGATATTGACATTTGTTTGAAATTATATATATTTCTATCAATTTGGGCACGCCGGTCACCGGTGGCCCTCATGACGTCACCGCCAAGTTAAGTGCCGGTCACCGGTGACCCCCGTGGCATTCGACGTGTTAATTGCGACAGGGGTCACTGTTTGAATCGACGATGGTAATAATACAAAATTTCAGATATTGACATTTGTTTGAAATTATATATATTTCTATCAATTTGGGCGCGCCGGTCACCGGTGGTCCCCATGGCGTCACCGCCAAGTTAAGTGCCGGTCACCGGTGACCCCCGTGGCATTTAACGTGTTAATAATGTATTTGGCTCTAGTGTAACTAAACAGCGGACAGTATCAAATTGGTTCGCCAAATTTCGTACAGGTTATTTTGACCTCACAAATGAACCACGCGGTTGCTCAGAATCAAAGGTTATCAACACCTGTCTAGCGCAGGTGAGATCCGTTATGATTTTATGAAACCTGGCTCACCGATCACAACAGAAATACACTGCAACCAACTGGACGAAATGATACAAAAACTTAAAGAAAAACAACCTAGATTCGTCAACGAATCGACTCCCATCTTATTGCATGATAACGTTAGATTACACACTGCACAAATGACTGTGGCAAAACTACAGGAATTGGAGTTGGAACTTCTTCATCATCCTCCATACTCATCAGACCTATCCCCCACTGTCTATCGCTTCTTCCACAATTTGAGCAATTTTTTAATAGGAAAACAATTTAATTCCGACAATGCTGTAAAACTGGTCTGCCAGGAATTCATTGACTCTCGTCCGCCAGGGTTTTATATCACCGGTCTGAACAACCTGCCGCTTAAATGGCAAAAGTGCATAAACCAATATGGGTGCATACTTTGATAAATAAAATAATTCCTCATATTTGTAAGTTATGAAGCAACTTTACCTTCTTTTCTACAAATTTCATACTTGACGACCTGATACAATGACTAGAACTCTTTCGATCGCAATCATTTCTTCGACCTTACATCCGCTTGAATTTGTAAATATTGGCGACGATAGATCAGAATTTTTAATATTATAAATGTATTTAATTTATAAATTAAATATAACTCGTAAACTCAGATATAAAATATAATAATTTGTACAACGCGAATTTAAAATTATACCACTGTAATTAAAAAAAGAAGACAGCTTATTACTAGAAATCTCCACCACGAGTCTGACTCGTTAAAGGGTTAATGCCGCACTCTGGTCCTGTAAGTAACCACGATCGTAAAAGTGCATCTGCCACATTATGAAAATAGTTGGTGCGTGTCCGGGTAAAAATTATTGCGTATTAAATTTCAATCTTTATTTTGTTTACGCTCCGGGAACGGGAGTGGGAGCTAATTGTACAATAAACAATCCGGCGATGAGATACGTGAGTCGTGCCGTTGCCAAATAAACGTCGCGAAACCGTCCGAAATCCACGGCGAGCAGTTCTCATGCAAGCGGAAAAAATATATCGCGGGACGTCAGCGACGAAGCCTCGAGTATTTTCGACCGGCTGTCTCTTGCCAGTCCCCGAATTTTCAAAACCGTTTCATCGCCGTCGCATTTTCGCGAAGGCCGAAGACAGTCGGAAGACCGAATAGACCCAGAATACATATTTTATATGTCCTGTTGCCGATTCTTTCATTTCCACGGGTGCCAGAAGGATTTTCTTTCTATCGACGACGGCTGTGCTCGTTGATACGCCATTAACCCTCTATGGGCCGAATTTTTTTCTTAAATATAAAAAGATTTATGCAACGGAAAATCTGTTATTATAAACCTATATATGCTAATTGAAAAAATATTTAACAGTTCAAAGAACTTTATTATAATCAATTCAATTTGTAACTTCGAAGTAACAACGGCTTACAATGTTTCCACTTCTGTGCATAAATGCTTGAGCGTGAAATTCCATAAAACAGTTTGAATTTGGCGTTAAACATTGATGTACGTTGCATTTGGAATTGATTGCCGAATAGTTTCTTGTGGTCCTGAATTTTCCTCATCCGATGATAATTCGGTACTAAATTCATCGTCATTGTCAATAATATTTACGCGTCGTCTGGTAAATGCTACTGGACGATCTTCATCGGACTCAGAATCTAATAAAGAATCTTCGGATCTGCTACCGCTGATGCGTCTAATTCTAACTCCTCTTTTATTTTTCTATGATTTTGTATCCATATTTCGGGGGTATTTGATATATAAATTTGAAAATAGAAGAAAGCACAACTATTATCCTAAATACACTCGAATCTACCACAATAGTCCAATGTAACCTGAAAGTTACAAAACTGTATCATATACAAATAGTAACAAAATGATTATTGAAGTGCAAATAAATAAATTGTTATTTGATATACGAATCCAGAGCTATTATATACGTTTTTTTTTATTTAGTAAACGCTAACGAAAGCACAAATAATCTCAATTGCACAAGATGGCCCCTTGGTTTCTATCTGCAGACAACTTACAAGGTATTTATTTTGACATTTCAGGTTGATGATGCAGCGAACCGTCGTCAATATTGTTATTGATTATTTCAGAGGCATTATATAATTAACCCTTTGCAGTCGAGTGGCGACTCTGAGGCGCCACTAAAATTGGTACACTATTTTTCAAGATCATTGCACGAACATCAGATTCAACGTTCATATTGAAAAATGCAAACTGTTGAAATTTCATTATGCCTCGCCAATGGGCGCAATTTCATACGCTTAAATCGCAATTAATTGTATAAGGTTGAAATACTGCAGATCGGAGATCATGTTTGAGATTTCGAATTGAAATAGCTTCGACTGCAAAGGGTTAAGACGTATACATCATCTTGTGAAAAAAAAACTAAAACTATTTGGTAAAATGTGGCTATATTAGCTTGTGACTTGAAAGTTACATGGGCCTGTAGAGGGTTAACGAGGCACTCGAGGCGATCTCGAGTGCAGACATTTGAATGCGTTTCACAGCCCGGCTACGTGCAATTCTTTGCGACGCATCTCCGCGGTTATTTCGATGCGGTAAGTGCTCCTATGCCCGAGTTGCGTTCTCTCATTGTGCAACGATTCGAACGGCCAGAATTCGGATCAGGGGTTTCGGTTTCGCGTTAGAATTTCATTTAGCAATTACAAAAGAATTTTCGTTTCGTAATTATGCAGTTGCACAATCGGTTGGCGCCGACCGTAAACAACATACCAGAACGATGACTTGTAGCCGTGCTCGAAAGGGTGTCGACCTACTAATCGTGCAGTGACAATTTTTTCGTTCTGTCAGCGATTTGTTTGATAAAGTTCACGTTCTTTTTTTTTTATTTTAACTCGATCCGTAACTTCGATATGGATTTTATTCGTTTGAAATCCTGTTTCTATTTTGCATTAACGGATAGTGGGAAAGTGATCGCATTTATTAATTATTAATTTATTAATTATGCAAACAATTACAAATTCAATCGCAATTCAGGGCCACTAGAAAGCATGAATTACGTCACAGTTGGGCAATCGGAAAGTAAGTTCAGAGAAATTTGCTGAATCGACAACGTGTGAGAAAACGATACAACAATAGTGTAAAATATGATTAGTTAACACACAGTAGTTAACCAAACTTGAGAGAGCGATTAATTATGTTTCGCAATATTGGCATTTGTCATTTTATACGATATCGATGCAGTACGTTCTCCTGAACAATCCTGTGCCCTTGGTTTATTTTTTTATTCTTTCATTTTGTCATAATTAATGTTTTTAGGCGACCCTGCATTGGTCTCGACTTGGCGAATGTTGCGCCTCTTTCGGAGAAAAACTGAAGCTCTGTTCGGGGTCCGTACAGCGCCAATTGGTGCAGTGGCGAAACGCTCAAACTATTCGCCAAAATCGACTGTCAGTAAATTTGGCTAACAGTTTGAGCATTCTGCCGCTATACTAATTGGCGCTGCTTAGAGATTTTAGACGGAACGTGGGGTTTTGTGAAAATAAACTAATTGATATATTATATATGTCGAATCGACACATATAATTTAATTAAATACTTAATATTTTTAATTCAAATTTTATTTTGAAATAAAATTATTAAACAAATAAATAGATTATTCCCGTTTCATGTAATCGTGTTCACTCTAAGAACATTTATTATCGATTGATTGCTCCTTTGTAAGAAACATTAATAATTGAATTAATATTTACAAGGTGGCAAACATTTCATTAAGATAATTTATTAACTTAGTTGATATTAAAAATTATCGATGAAATAGAAAATGTCAATTATCTACATTTGCCTCAGGAACATGTATGTGACTCCATCTATCCGAGAAAACTGGAACTATTGGTCTTCCGGTTAACGAAAGAAGAGCTAGCATTCCCGTGGGAAAATCGATAGATGGCGGGCAGGTTTGAACGAGCGTAGCGGGAGCGGGCCTGTTCGCCAGAGTTTTTATTTCCGCGATCGAGCCGAGACAGGATCGAAATGTCAGAGTTTGGACGATGGTTTTCGAGTTTGTGTAATGTCAGTGACAAGTGACGCCTTTGCGCTTCTCGCGGCGCATTCTTCGCGCGAAACGATGCCAAGGGGATAAATTATGCCACGAAAGGAGAACACGTAAGTGTCCAAACAGATTGTTGTCTAACCTCGTCCACCATTCTAAACATTTTCACTGTATCACGTCCGATGCCTCGATGAAATGAAATGTCATTGTTCGTTCGCTTGAATCGTAACCGGGCGCACGTTAACGTGACTGTCTTTTCAGCAAAGCGAAAACATGGGAGCGAGACAGAAGAAAACGTATGAACACTTACTTCAAAACCTTGGCAGATCTTCTGCCGCCGCACCAAGAAGGTCGCAAACGCAACAAGGTCGACATCCTAATCCAGGCATCAAAGTACATCAAAGACCTCCATAGCCGCACAGACGAATTGTTCTCTGCTCATGCTTCAGAAGCACACAGTAAAAGAAACAATTTTTAGGATACGCTATTGCAAACATCTTTCATGCTAATTAATTGTAATTGTCTACAGAGGAAGAATTGGCTCGTCTTAAAAAGCTTGTAACCCAGTTGTTCTCTCGCACACAGTTGTTGTCTACATTGTTGCGTGAAGCTGGGATCACTGTACCTGCAGAACCAGCCCTTGAAAAGATATCCCCTCTAAAGTGGTCGAATAAAATTAATGTGGAGGATGCAGAGAAGTACTTCGATAAGCTAGAAGAAAGTAAGGTCAAACGGTACAATGGGAAGTCATTTTTTGAAATGTTTTACATACTTAAGGAATATTTTGTTACAGTAAAAAGTTCTGAGAACAAGAAGAAGAAAAAGTCTGCAGAGCTTAAAGTGCCTTCTAAAAGAAAATGTGTGAATTCTTCTCAGTCGTCTACCAAAAAGTTGGCAGAGAGTAGTGATATTTCTAAGGATGTGAATAGCTCAATTGAAAATCAGGAGAATCAAGTGAATTCTGCGAATAGTAAAGATGAGAACTTGGAAGCAGCAGGAAATATTTCAGAATCTGGTTCAAAGGAGTCCGGATGTTGTCAAACGAACACAAGTAAATATTCTTTTTTAACTGGAACTTTGTGCCAAATGTGTAGTAAAAATATATAGTTCTATCCCATTAGGTTCAGATGTATCAGAGAATAGTCCATTGAATGGTAAAGCGAGTAATGGTAGGTATGGGTAAACTCTGAATAATACAAATTGCAAATTCTTACAATTATTGTGTTACTTCCAGCATTGCAGAAAGTGGAATCTCAAAAGAAAGTAAAGAAAAAGACTAAGAAGAAGGACGGAAAAAAGTGTGCAACACCCTGTATAAACAATTCTGTGACCAATTTAACACCAAACACTCTGATACTGTCCGGTGGTAAATTAATGCCATTAGTAACCCCCATGACATCAAACATCATTGTGAACGCTCCGCAGCAGCCAACAAACCCGATAATTCTTAGCAATACGCAACAGAATCAGATGTTTGTTATGCAACCATTGCCCAACCGTGTACAGAACTCCGTCGTCTCTATTTGTAACCAAGCTTTGATCAACACTGTACAAAAGGTGACCTTGAATACCGTCCCGAACATCCATACAAATGTGGTAGTTGACTCACAGAACTGGGCGTCGAACGTCAAGAATATAATCAACGCGACGAAAATCGGTGGACACAAGGGCATCTTGCCCAAGGGCAAGGAGGTCACGAAAACGACAATGGCGTACAAAGTTCCTATCCCGGCGGTTCACAAAGAGAAAGTGGAGAAACTGAAAGAAACTAAGAAGGAAGAGATCAAATCGAAAGTGAATAAAAGTCACACGAAAAGTACGAAAAATCAACAGCTCCTGGAAACAACGGACGAAAAGATCGATAAAGATAAATGCGGGAAAAGCGAAGATTCTAGTACTTCCCAGAAAACATGTCTTAAACGATCTTCGAGCGCAGAAGATGAAAATACCGACGAGCCAGTCGATAAAAGGCAAAAGACAAACGAGAGCGATGATAACCTTGTTAAGACGCTGTCTGCGTCAAAGACAGATTTTGCTGTAACTTGTAAATCCATCGAAAGTTTGAGGCATGTGATAGAGAAGATAGGCGAGAACACAGAAACTTCAGATAACAATCACGTCTTGATGGAATCGAATGAGAAAGAAATCGGGACCAACGTCGAATGTCCAGTCTCATTGTATTCATCTAGCAAGGACATAGCTGACTCTTCAAAGAGTATAAACAATATACAATGTGAGAACAAGAAGTTAGAAGCATCAGGCACAGTGTCGCCTGTCGCTTTTTCGGAGGAGCATCTGAAATCTAACGAAGTCGATTCTCCGGACACTGAGTTCAATATTCCAGAAGACAACGCCTTAGTAAAGTCAGGAAACACTATGGACAGTTCAACCTCTAAATCTCCGTTGACAGAGGTAGAAGAGGCTGTTCAAGAATCCGCGGATTCTAAAAAAGTCAAGGAAGTGTGCAATTTAGGCACTGAGTTCGACAATCTGTTGCAGGTCACGCCTAAAGACCCTGAAGCTATCGAAGGAACAACAAATCTGGAGAGTAACAAAATCATTCTAAATCTCGATACAAATATCACCACAACATTGAAACCGGAAACAAGTATAGCGGTTTCATCTGATCCCTCCACGGAATCCTCCCCGCTACTTCCAGTTAACATAGTTGAGGAAGAGGCTAAATTACCTAAGACGCCAAAGGACGAAGTGCCCAAAACGTCACTGTCATACAATACAGAAAACTCTTTCGTTCCCATTGGCAACAGAGCTGACGGCCTCCACTCTGATCTATCTAACGACATATTCGCTTCCTTACAAGTTCCTTCCAGTTCCCATAATTCTGAATCTATATCGCCCACAGCAGCGTTCCTAATGGCTTTTCCGCTGGTGTCCTCTTTAAACGGTAAAACCGAGGTACTAGAAGAGGATATGAAAGAGGACTTCAAGTACCATAGTCAGACTCCACCGATGCTGTTGCAAATTGGGACCATGGAACCCAATAGTTTTAAGATAAAAACATCGTCGCCGTCCCATTCAATCGCCGAGAAACGTTTGAAGGCAGCTTGCGATGAGAAGAAAAGTCTGAATCCTCCTGCAAGCGAAGCTGTAGCTTCGGAGATGATTGTCTCTGTGGAATGCAGCACTGCTACTAAGGCCTTGCCCAAGGTAGTCAATGATGAGCCACTTAGGGAGCCCTATAAGATTGTTCAGAGTGTGCTACCTACTTTAGAAAAGTCTGCATCTTCTAATTCATTCTCTCAGACAACTTTGTACTCCATTGCAAATGTGTCAGCTAGTAATTCAATCAGTACAAACACTCAAGCAGGAGGAAACTGTCAGAATCAGCTAACCAGGAGCTTACAGAATACTATAACCACTAGTGAGAACATCATCGATTCCCAAATTGGTACTGTATCCAATCCAAATAAAACAGATCAAACTAGTTGTCCGGTGCAAGTGTCCACCTGCGACACCAATGTCCGCTACTCTACATCCCAAGACTTTCTGTCAAGTTACTCAACGGTTGTGGATAACACTCTCAACAATCTACAACAGAGCTCCACTGTTTGCAATAATACAACTATCCCAGAAGTGAACCCTACTGGACTAGGACAAAGTGTAGTCCCTGACGTGTCACAAGTTTCGCAGTTGGTCAACACGACAACCACCACCAGTGCTTCTTCTTTGCAGACCATGCAGATAGATTACACGCCTCAAATGAAAGAAAAAGAATTGCATAGCTCTCGGGTTGCTTATGCAGTCGATGGGAAGGATGCTTTAGTTGATTCTAACATTGTATCCAACACCAGACTTAATTATACCGGCCATGTTGACAGGGTTCTTCCCGCTTCGTCTCAAACTATGCAACAGGATTATTCTATACAGCCAAAGGATACACTCCCTATCCTTTCCAACCAAGATATGCAAACTGTCTACGATCCACAGCCAAAGAACAGTCATGTTTTAGCTACATCACAGAGTACACACAACGAGTACGTTGATCAAAATAAAAATCTCTCACGAAAGGACACCATATCCTACTCAACCAGCAACACGACTAGCAGAACTCAAAGTTATTCAAAGGATTCAGTACCGAATTCATCTGAGAGTCATTTCCAACACAACTACCAGAAGATGAAGGATTCTGAAACAACAGTGAATAATATTGTAGATCAGGACGCAAAGTTAAATGATATGTTGAGATCGAAGACACAGGAAGCACAGGATCACAGACACGAGACCAGTTATACTTCGTCGAAGAAGATGGACATTGATCCGTTTGCTCAAACGTTCTCTTATGGGGTAAAGGAGTCCATAAATACGCAGGCTGAACAGAATGTTTTGAGTCAGAACACTGAGAACATGTTCCAAAGAAAGCGAGAAGATACTCAGAATTATAGTTCTTACTCCAACAAGGACATAAAGAAGATCAACACCAGTTCTGCAAATCCTATAAACAGCAAACCTTTAATACAAAACGCACCTGTCTCGCGTTACTCGCAGCAGCCGACTTCTTTTGTCGCCACTTCTAACTACGAACAAAGTACAGTCACTGACAATCATACTAAGTCAACGACCACCGTGGCTCACTCCTCTAATTTCAGCATTCTGTCTTGGACTACTTTGTCGCCTGTCGGTGGTAGTGGCAACAACAACTTGGTGCAGTTTGAGCAAGGTCAGAATCAGACGGACAACTCAGAGCAGAAAACTATTTGCGAAAATTATAATTACGTTCCTTTGCACAAAGAGAACTCTAACTATTCTAATGTGCTGACAAATGATGTTTACTCTAATAATTCCACCGTAACTGGTATAGACAAGTCTAGAATGAAGTCCGGAATGGAACCTCAAAAGCAGCCTTTTGTTGATCCTTCCAAAACAAGAACTATTCAGACGAATGTTCAGTCATCAGGTAAACAGAGTCGCATGCAGAGTCAAAGTTCATCTAGTAACAACGACTACGCAAAGTTCAACGCTGAAAATAAGAACAAATCTAAGTATGCCATAGAGTCGGAGTATATTCAGAATGAGTACTCTGGAATGGAGCAGCAATCCCAGCAACAGCAACATGGACCAAAGACTCACCAGTCCATGCCTCAAAAGCAGGACAAAGCTGTGTATCCGATGTCCACTTACGATACTCAGGTAAATTTCGATTTGCCTGAGGTCAGCACACAGATGAAATACTCCGTGGACTATACTAGTTCGAACTTCAAATATCCGGACAAGTCTCAGCAACAGAATCAGAATAAGTATCAGCCGTTGGTTCAAGGACAGATTCCCACTCTACAGCATGAAAGTGTATCGTATAATAATGATGGGAAGCATGGGCAACAACAGAGTACAACAAAGACTAAGACGAATCAACAACAGCATGCTATTAGAGCCCCTGTAAACTGGATGATGCCGCCTGAAATCAAGCACAATGCAAACATCGCTGATATGATTTTACCGCCTATTGGAAAGGAGCTCGACTTTTGTCAAAACAATCTCTTCGCTCAAACTCCATCGTACAATCAAGGAACACCTAACCAGTTTTATAACAATTACGATGTGGCAGCTCATAGTTTTCCCAATTTACCAGTTCTGCAAAGTGAACCCAAGAGGACTTCAGAGGTATTTTATTCCGAGGAACAACCGTTTCCATGGTCTCCTACGAAGACTACCGTTCACGTTGAACAGAGTCAACCGGTTAAAGGTATAGATCAGCACATTGTGCCCTCCAGTCTTCCAACACTGGTCGGTGATTTGGACTTGGGCACTAACATCCCTGAGAAGCAGAACTTCCTGTTCGGGCAAGTGCCGTCCAGAGTCTCAGCCGACCAGAGCAAAGACCCTAGCAAGGACAAGGAAGGTAATGTCACTGGCCGTGACTTCCACACTGTTTTGAATACCCAAGCTATACAACATCCAGGTTCTGTCTCATCGTTTCTTTCTGTGAGTCAACTGGTGGAGCATGAGAAGGCTGAGAAGTCTCATCAACAACACCATCAGCAACATCATCATCACCCTCATCACCACCATCACTCTCATCCACACCAACAACAACAACAGCAACAACAACAACAACAAGCTAGGAAGCATCAAAGGAAGAGTAATACCAGTCCCAGAGGAAACAGCAAACGACAAATGGACATTAGAAAACAGACATCAGGCAATGATCAGCTGCATCAGAGACACGAGGACCAGAAGTCGTCTGGTCATACTTTCTCGGAGCAAGGATATCAACAGCAACAACAACAACAGCAAAAATATCAACAAAATAATGTTCATTGGAGAAGCAGGAATTGCAAGAGCAATTACACTGCAGAGGCATTGATAGGAACAAATAGCAGCGTTCATGACACGATTCAGGACAAGCACGCGTCTATAAAGTTCACAAATAATTATCCTCAGAATAAATTTCAAACTAGTCTACCAACTGCAGATACAGTCATGCCAATTAACTATTTTTCTAATACCGATGACGGGAGTGGATATGGACAAATGGTTAATCAGAACTTCAATTCGTACACGTACTCTTCCAATGCTAACATTTATCCTACTTCAAATTTCATAACAAGCATATCTAACACTCCTACTAGTTATATGATGCCACTACATGACAACACTGATTATATGGAAGCGAATGCTTTTCTTCTGCCGAACGTGGCAACTTCCTCGACTGTCACTTCATCATCAACGTCTACAGTAACAACTTCGACTTCCAATGTAAATAGCAATACAAAGAACCATCAGCATTACGCAAAGCATCCGCATTGTGACAAAAGAATATACTCAACCAACGCGAAGAAAGGGAAAAGAAAGGGTCTGGATGGGACCATGCAGAACTTGGAGTTCCCTCTTTCTGGAATTAACTCGCCCTTGGAGGATTATCACCATTCCGCTACTTTCTTGCCACCGCCGCCACCCCCACACGCCAGCCCCCTTTATCAAAATCACCCGCAAGCGAATGTGTATACTAAAGCTGTAAATAGTTTGCCACCACCTCCAGCGGTTGCTGGCCCTCAAGGCGTACCGACCGTGGGGACAGCAGGATTTTCAATGAATCCAAACATGCCAAGGGGAGGAATCGTTTCCAGTAATCCCATGGCCATGAGCCATCATCCTTCCGGCACCAGTCTCACTAACTTCAACTTGAGTACCATATTTCCTGAGATGAATGACAAAGTATGTGAATCTACTGATGGCGTGAACCCTTTATACTTGTATAAATATTAATCATAATTATTCAAATATAAAGGGTTGGGAACGATACTAGTCAGACACTGAGAGTATAAGTAACTATTAAACTTGTTCAACAGATTACGGGGTATAAACCACCAAACGGTATACCAACCGGTTTAACACAACCGCCCAACCAAACGACAGCATACGCACAGAGAACCAATTATACAGCAAATCCCCTCTGCCATTTACCACAGGTTTGTTTTACTGAATAATTAACAATCCATAAAGTAATAATAAATATAAATGTTGTCCTCAGGTGTCGGAAGGAAGCCAGTTTGGTAACGGCGTTCCTCCTCCTCCACCACCACCTCCTCCCGGAGTAATACATTATAAGAATGTGTGATAAAGTAAGTACGAATGCGGAATGAGAATCATTGATTACTGTACATATGTATATAATTACGTAAATGATTTAAATTAAAAGAAATTGATTTAAGCACCATTCCATTCTGTTTTACATTCTTCAGCATTCAGTTAATAGCTCTAAAAATTTAATTGCATATTTAAGGTTACAAACGTTTACATAACGAACATTTCGTTAAAGTCAATAAAAAAATCGCAGAGTATTAAATCATAACAATTTCCATCCTGAACTCGTTAATAATTTACTTGACTCTGAACTGGAATAAATAAATATTTAAGGAACTATTTCAGATGGAAATTCTTATTGATGTCAATAGATTATCACCATTATAGAGAACTGTGAAATTTATCTTGATTGCGCAGTAAACAAATATCATAGCTTATTGTTACATTTCTAATTCCCTGTACACCAAGTTACCTCAACTCTTTAGTAGGTGGTTTCATCGGAATCTTACCGAAGGTAAACTTTTCCGCCATATACATGCCTTTCTCCTCATAAGTCAATTGATCCTCTGTTGAAAATATACTATCATCTATGATAGTAGCGGTCATAGTAATACCAAACATGGATGCACCAAACTGACCACCGGAGGACACAGTAACAGTGTTGGCCGTTTGGCTCTGAGCAAAATTACCGAACGGTGAGATTGTCTGCTGCGTTCTTGGTGCGAAGGGGTTGGTGGTTGTAGTCGTAACTGTAGTATTCGTGGTAGCAAAGGGCGAACTCTTTGAATCCCCACTGACTGTAGATGTTGTAAATGGAGATGTCGTAGAGGTAGGGGTACCAAAGGTGAGCCCAGTGTTTGCAGTGGTACCAAAAGGTGTGCTGGATGGTGTCACGGTGGTACCAAACGATTCGCTGGTGGTCGTAGCCATGCCAAACGTAGGTCTAGAAAAGGGACTAGCTGTAGAGCTGGTTGCATCAAACTGCGAGGTTGCGGGAGCAAAAGGGCTGCTGGTTGCAGTTGTGACTGCACCGAAGGGAGCCACATTAGACGCTGCAATAGCAGCTGTAGGTTGAACACCAAATACGTTCACAGAAGATGTAGACACAGTGCCACCGAATGCATTTGTGGACTGAGCTGCTGAGCTGAAGGTGGAAGTAGTATTAGCACCTCCAAACACGTTATTCGACCCACCGAATCCTGACTGCTCGCCAAATATGGGCGCATTCGAGCTTCCAAAGTTCGCTGCACTGCCAAACACGGGAGCTCCTCCAAAGGCAGGCTTTGACTGAGAAAAAGGTCCAGAGTTGAACGTCCCGGTCGACGAGGTTGTCCCGAATAAAGGGGTGGTGCTCTGTAAGGTTGAAGAAGTACTGAAGGGATTAGCTGTGGATGTTTTGGCAACTCCAAATAAGGATGTGTTAGTTTGAGAGGTAGAGCCGCTGAATATCGATGGTGTGGACGTTGCTCCACTGAATACAGATGTTGTCGACTGCGATGTTTGCGGTCTGGAAAATAGATTGTTGACCTGATTGGACGCTCCGAAAACGCTGGGTTGTCCGAAAACTGGCTGCGACGATCCTCCACCGAAAATAAAACCGCTGTTTGAGTATGAATGATCACTACTGAACGTAGTGGAAGTGTTTGTTGTTCCGCCGAATACAGAGCTAGTGTTGGTTCCAGTACCAAAGCCTAAATTGTTGCTAAAGCCGGCAGTTCCACCAAACACGGGATTGGATATGGTGGTCTTTCCAAATATCGATGAACTACTGCTAGTGGAAGTGAAACCTCCACCAAAAGGGTTGTTCTGATTTCCAAATGTTTTATTTCCAAATACATTGGAGGATGAGGAACTGCTTGGAAGACCTAATTGAGGAGTTGCAAATGAAAAATTCGACGATTTTCCGGCGGTATTTCCGCTTGTCGTTAATTTACCTTTTTGACCTGTTCCCTGCAGTTCTTTCTGAAAACAGACATTTACCAATCAGATCTCCTGAGTTCTACTTAAGTGTTTATTGTTTACTCACGAGTATCTCTATGGTTTCACGAGTAGGATTCTTTAAGGCCTCCCTTTTAGCCTTCATGTCTTGACACAATTTTTGATAGTTCAGTTTCTAAAAACAGATATGAAGGATAAGTGACTTAAGAACTTGTTGAATATTTAGCACACTAGAGTCATTGTATATATACTGCTTGCTCGATCATTCCATTCTTCTGTGCCTGATACATCTCCCACCGAACTTCCTCTGGGGATATGTCCTCCATGCCAGGAATATTTGGTTTTTGTTTGAGAGGTGCGAAACAGGAGAGTAGCCATTGTTGTCCCCTTTCTGCACTGAGTACTTCTTTTGCAACCACGACCCTTATTATAATAATAAAGATTAGTCAAGCACTCTCAAATTTATTAAAAAATTAATCGTATCTTTTAAGACTAAAATCTAGTAGTACGTACGCTGTATATTCGTCCTGATTGTAATTTTCAGGCTTAGCATTGTTTCCTAAAAAAGGGACAAATCTAGGTTAAAATAGAATAAGTTTTTTATGCTATTAAAATTACGTTCTAAATTTATTATCTTACCGAATGTATTTATATGTTCAAATTGACAGTATTGTCCGAAGCGACAATTGCCTTGTCTATAATATTTGCAAATAACCATTGCGCCCACAATTGGTAGTCTTCAGTGTTGCAAAACAACACGTACAACACTACACCACACTTCAAATTTCGTGTGTCGTCAACTAATTTGTGCGGGAATCACAGACCATTCTTGTGAATAATAGAATTAAAATTTTCACACAACGCCATTCCATATTGTGTAAAAACAACAAACTAGTAGATAAGTGTTATCAACACACGATAAATTCGAGATAAATATGGTAGTGTCATTATGACAGTATATCAGAACTCATATTTGATTTAGGATTAGCATAGCGGCGCCATATACCTTTCATAAATACCAGTTTTGCTGTTGGTAAATTCGGCTACCAGTTTGGGCATTTTGCCACTGCATGGTTTGGCACTGTACGGACACTGAAAAAAGCTTAAAGATTTCGCCGCAATGGTGCTGCTATTATCAATTTTAATCAAATCATTCACACTTGAATAAAAGATAATATTTCAAAGCTTTTCCGTCGAATATTTTTAATTTTTAAGCTACCATATTAAAGATAGAAGAACGCACTTTATTACAGGTCAAAATAATTACGATAGCATGCTAAAACTCTTAAAATAGATATACGAATCTACACAGTCATACTTGAATTGAATCATCTGTTATTGAAGTTATTGGTAATTGAAAAAGAAAAAATATATATATATATATATTTATATTTGTTTTTCAATCCTTTCGTATACAGTAATTATCGGCAGCTCAAGTACATAAGTACCTCCAGTGAATTGTTATTCATTTCGGATTGCCGCCCGCCACAAATTCAAACATGAATCGCTAAGGCTACGTTCATGGACTCGAAACTTGTGTGCGCACGCGCACTAGAAATTAGTGTCGAAAACCGTCTAAGTTTCGCCTTCGTAAGAATCCTTTGTGTTATCACGTGTGGCCTGTACGTCAGATTTTCAAAAATTGAATGCGACCGTTCCAAAGAAATGTGCATATGCAGTTTGCTCACTGAAAGAGTAACAACTCGTTGGAACGTGCGTAATGACAAATTACACAGCGACGATTAAATTATATACTCTGTATCGTATGCTCTGTGACTGTATGCCATTGAGCAATACCGAATAAGAGAGAGCTCTCGTTTCGTCTGTCGAGCCCTGGTTTGTTAGAGTGGGGCGGACGGACAACTATTTTGATCGTCGGTGTGCGAGCAAAGGCACCGCGATGATTTTCGGACAGGATGCGTTCTGAATCTGTGCAAATACGTTGACTACCGCAAGCTATTTCCGTGGTGATTTTCATCGCGCAACAGGAACAGGAAAACGTACGTTCTCGTTATCAGTGAACGTACGGAACACGCCCCACGCCGTTGAAATTAAACCGGCCGAACTGAATTCCCCCTTGATATGCTCGAAACGTAATGTGTCATCTTTCACGTGTTTCCGTGGATCTTTCATGAGAAGAGTGAACCGTTTGAACAGCTACGACGCCGTTAGATCCCGATCTTGATTTTCGCAGCCCCCACGCAAAATGGTAAGAGCCTGTTCGACTTTTTCACGAAATAGGTTATGGCAATTTGTATTCCTAGAATCGAGGCAATTCCTTAGTAGAATTTTTCGATGCTGCGAATATACCCTCCACGGTCTACTATATTGCCATGCTATGTTCTGTATTCGTTATTCAACTGATTGATAATGATCTTAACCGTATATAGCGATGTGTAACTTTCGAGTCACACATTAGTCATTCGCATATTCCCCATTACATTTTATCGATAATAATTTATTGTTCCATCATCTCTTCATAATTCTAGAATCTTAGTACTGTGATTTTGTAGTGTTTCAAAAACTTCTTCTGCACAAAAGATGATTTTGCCACTCAATTTCGTTTTACCCAATCCTTAGTCCTTGCTTTACAAAAGATTATTAAGTGTGCTGGCAAAAACGTTAACACCTGCTCCAAAAAATAATTCTAATTTGTTTCCTTTGTCTTGCAGTCAGCGACTCTGAAACCTTACTTAACAGCAGTGAGGAGGACTCTCACTGCTGCCATGTGTCTTGAAAACTTCTCTTCTCAAATTGTCGAGAAGCACAACAAGCCTGAGGTGGAGGTGAGAGACAGTAAGGAGCTCCTTATGACTCCGATACTGATCAGTAGAAACGACAAGGAAAAGGTGCTGATAGAATCCAGTGTGAACAGTATGAGAATAAGTATTGCTGTGAAACAAGCCGATGATTTGGAGAAAATCCTGTGTCATAACTTCACAAGATTCATGACAATGAGAGCGGAACACTTTGTCATTCTCAGGAGGAAGCCTGTGGAGGTAAATCTACCTATTCATGGGAAACCGTGTTCACAAAAGAACATACAAATTGACTATATTCATGACATTAATTTTATCTTTACAGGGCTATGACATTAGTTTTTTAATCACAAATATCCATGTAGAACAAATGTACAAACACAAAATTGTAGACTTTGTGATCCATTTCATGGAAGAGATTGATAGAGAGATCAGTGAGATGAAGCTGTCTATGAACGCAAGAGCCCGCATTTGCGCGGAAGAATTTCTAAAAAGGGTTGGTAAACGATCAAAAGAATGACCGAATAATTAATTACAGTACATTACGTCAATCGTTTGACCGATGATGTTGATTTCAGTTTTAATTCCTGGGACACAGTGTGTTGCCGACATAGCAATAATTGGAAAGATCAGGTCGCTAAAAGTAACAGTGCCCGTATGCTGGTTATCGCAGTTAGTACTAATTTAAGGATAACTTCCTGTACCCTGAACCACCCTTCACTCGAAATGCCAATTACCCCGTTGTTCTCCGGTCACGAGCATCCATTAACTAACAGTTCCCGATTAATCGGTATTGTCTCCAGCTGTGTAACAAGCAACAAGTCTGAGGCTCATGTAAGTACAACACGGCATTGATTGACTGCGCCCTAAGCTGTAACAAAAATCGGGGAGAATACAGTTTGCTTTTCCCAAAAATGCAGCGAAGTAGAATGGCGAACAACCGGCATCCATTCAAGAGAGCATTTCAAATGAATTTTAACGTTCACAAGTCTGGGATATAAAATTGTATTAAGACGTACTTTATAAACTTTACATATTGCAGAGGTAGCATACTAGAATGAATCCGAGAATTTCGTCGAAGTCTAAAAAACTTTTTCCATCTTGTAATCGTGGTGTGTGCATGATCGATCCGATAGTGTACATTTTTATGAGTACGTATTCGTTGACGTACTGAGAAAGGATCCGAGATAACTCTCAACACAGGATCAGTTTGTTAAAGGGGACGCTTGTTCGGTGATCTATTTAATAATTATCGTTTGATATTGAGTACTTTTACGAGAAAATCTAGCACAAAGAAAGAGAGAGAAAGAGAGAATGGAGGAGCATAGTGCGAGAAGGCTTATTCCGCTGATCGGCGGGCAGGTTTTTTAACGGACATTCCTAATCGTGAAGCCATCGTTTATGTATCAGTGCATCGTTAACACTAGTAATTGTAAACACGACTAACGTCCACCGACACTGGGTATTGTAATATGTTCGACAACTGCCAAAACACTATTTAGCGTAGCGGACCGATCGAGGGACTGTAATTACGATTATCTTTAACGGTACGAATAGTCCTAAGGTTTCTGCACCTAAAGGGTTCTTGCCTAAGGACCACCTCCGATTTTAACGAAACTTGCATCATAGAACTGGAAACAGTATTTGATATCAAAATTATATTTAGTCGTCTTCCGTCTCGGAAGTTATGTTAATCAGATTTTTAGGAAATTCATTTACAAGACAGTGTTTGAATTCAAAATTATCGAGAAGATGATTCTAGAGAAATAACCGATGCTTTTCAAAGTTTTCTATGATGTGCAAGTTCCGTGAAAAATAGTGGAGTAGCTTGGGCAGCCATGGGTGCCCTTGAGAGTATCACAAAAGCCGCAGTCTTCAAGGCGGCAGTAATTATTAAGGGCAAGAGAGGGTGTAATTCGAACTTTCACCGATTCCCACTTGGAACCTGTACTCGAACACCCTGTGAGAGAACGTTGCGTTTGAATTATTGCTGGATGGTGTTCGATAGTCCCCTTCCAAGATGCTATTCGACTTGCGCTTACTCGAGAAAACGGTCTAGCAGTGATCACAGTGCTTCTCAGAGTAAAGGACGTGAGGGCGATGTGTGCGTAATGCGTGCAATTCCTTTTGCATTTACAAAGTTCTATTTATCTTACGAATCATTGTAACCATATGATTTAATACTAATGTAAATACAAATAAACGAGGAGATTCAGGACTTTCGCCGTCTTTATCCTTCCACCCAAGTTTTATTTGCATATTGAATCGTATCAAATCTATACCGTCAACATTAATTTCTCGACAACAAGATTAGATCGTCGAAGAAACTACCCCTAAGACCTGATCCCGCTGTCGAAATTCTGCCTTCCTGCGTGTCTAAGAACGGTTGATGCAAAATCTCCGAATAACTAAATATTTTATTCTACAAAACGGAGATCGACTTGTTCAGCTTGAGTTATTTGTTTGCTAGGAGAAAAATCGGGCAACAAATCGTAGAAGTGTCTGCGGAGGCGTGAACCGAGTGCAAAGGGTCAATTAAGGTCGTTCCGAGTGATCGCAAAGTTCCCAGGTGACCGTAGCACTCCTGATAGCCCGCAACCTGTCGCGCGAGTCACAAAGGCCATCTCGAATCATGGAATCCGTCACGTATTCACGGCGACTCCTCTTTCCATGGGGAAGGGTGCCTTGCAGGCCAGTCGCACGGCAATCGGCAATGCCATTCACAGTGGCAGTCCGCGAGTTTCCCGGCGACGTCCTCGCGCGAGTTTCGATCGGCATATCACCTTTGTGCAGTTCTTCGCGGTCACAGTGGCTCCCCTAATGGGGCGGCGTTAATCAAATAGAGCGTGACAGTCACCTGGGGGTAGCTCCGGCACACATACATCAATTGCCAATTTTCGAACGCTTTCGGTAAACATCTTCGAAGACGACGGTTCCCCTCGAACCTCTGAAAGTTCCTCCGGGGTTTTAGATCATTCCAGCCCCTACCTGCAAAGCTGGCAATCCGTTTAGCTGGGTGACCCTTGAAAGGATTTTCAACTTGAACTTTAACCGAGTTCATTTATTCGATTTCCATTCTTATCGAATCGACTTCTACTTGCAACGCCGGCAAGACTGTGAGATAATAGAGGGTTGCTGAAATCTCTAACTCTGGCGAAGCCGTATGCTATCGGCGATTTCGCGGCAGCTATTTTTCAGATTCTCACTCGTCAATTTTCTCGCGCAGTTTTTAACCTACTTCCTCGAGGTCATCTGTTCTAACTCATACAGCTAACGATTAACTGTTAACCGACGCTTCGCTGTTTCGCGATTACCAAAGCCACGAAGATTCCTCATTATCTCGAGACGTTGCAGTTTGCAGATGAGATCGATTAGCTAAAACAAAAAAGAACTGATTGACAAGGCTCGGATCACCGCGACAGCGAAAGAAATCGGACAAGGCCAAGGGGTTAACAGCATCCGGACAAAAAGAGCAGCTTCTCGAGTGCCGGATTCTGGAGGAGCGAACTCGGTCCTCGGAGCAATTATTAAAAACAGAGAAACAGTTAGCGGGGGGAGGTAGCGAGGGGGTCGAAGAACGAGGTGGGAAGGCAAGGGGCCGCGGAAGCACCGGAAACAGAATCCTCTCGCGGAAAGTTTTAAGCCCGCGGTCGTCTCGCGGCCAGTTACCAACTTCCGCGAGGGTGGCTGCGCTCGCAGAGGGCGACAGGGGGTGCGGGCAGCTCGGCTGCAACGGGGCTCCGCGTAATCTCGTTCGCGGCGGTCGCGATTTCGAGATTACCGCCGTTTCCCGGAGCCGCGCTATTTTCGAGGGTGAGCTGCTCGACCCCCTCGCCCTAACCCTGGGCGCACGCGGAAGATTGTTGACAAACTTCCGGCGCCGGCGGGGCCGGCGTCGTTCGCGAACCCCGCTAACGGGGGTTTTACCGTCGCTGATCCACCGAAAACCGCCGCGACAACCCTTCCCTCTCTCTTTCCACGGCCGTTCCCGTTTATTCGGCGGGATCGCCGGGCGAAAAGGGAGAGAAACTCGGCTGCTAGCGGAGACCTTCGAGGCCCACATCGCTAATTCCTAACGAGCGCCCAAAAATACACCGCCGGAGAGACCGGCTGCGACGCTCTCGGCTCTAGATAGCTGCTGGTAGAGGAAGAGGGCCGAGGAAGAGGCAGGTAGACGAAAACGAGCCGGATAAATAGAAGCTTACGATTAGAGAGAGAGTTTTCCTAGCTACCCTCCCTCTTGTCTCGCCCCCGACCCATCCCCTCCCGCTTGCCCTTCATTCGAGTATACTTGCATTCTGAAGGGGTTGTAGCTCGCATTCTTCTAACCTCGGACGGGCTTTGCTGCTGACGCTCGAACGCGTCCGCTGCCTTCAATCGCGCCGTTCATTTATACGCTTTATTGCGGGTCTTCCGTTACCGGAAAAGGATCATTATTCTGTTTTACATTAACACGTTTTTTCCGGGTCACAGTTCGGGCTCTACTTACACGCCTAGCCGCAGAAAACCAGTGAAATTTGAGAAAATTCACTTTTTGGAAAATATTGAATATTTTCAAAACTGAAAATAAGATTTTGATAACGAGTATGTAACGAGGATTTCTAGGATTTCAAAGGGGTTTCTTTCAAATATATAACTAAATTTATCGAAGTAAATTTTTAGAATGGTATTAATACCTGTGTCCCACATATCACGTGTTAAAAGAGAAATCCTAATTGTCGTAGCTGTGACTTGTTTACAGAAGCTGTCTGCTGGTTGCTCAGCATCTCACCGATTGCAAGTCAAACTCGTTAATTTCTGCAATTCCATGTCGGTCTTCTGTTTTTTTTTTACACCGCACGAGCGTCTATCATTTTCTTTACGTTGAAAGCAAAGTCGCAGCTGTTTTAGCTGTTACTTTTATCCAAGAATATTTTGCTAGCCACTTCTAATCCCAGCAACTGCAAGTTAAAGTCGTTGTGCAATTTCTCGCGAGTCCTCTTTCTTTTTTCAATCGCGAGATCGCACGATTTTGCAAACACCGGCCGCCTCGAATTTTCAAGAAACGTCGCCGACCGGCCGCGAGCCTTTTATTTTCAATCGGAGAGGACTGTTTTCGCGGGGGTTGAAAAATCAGGCAAGATTGCCCTTTCTCGCCCCGGAGGACCATCTTCCTCGCGTTCTTTCCGCTTCCGTCCCGCCCCCCGCAAATCTCGTCGCTCCTTATCCTTCCTCCGATTTGTCTCCTCTTCCGTTTCTCTATCTATTTATCTCCTCGCGCTCTAATTCTTTCTCTTTTATTTTCCCGCCCCCCCCCTCCGCGACTCTCCGTCTCCCTTTCGGTAGACATCGTCCCTCTCTGTTCCTCTCTCGCCGGTCCTCTCCGTCGGACGCTCCGCCGCCGTCCTCGTCGCTCTCTTCGGCCGCCAGTTTCGTCCTCCTCGCTCCTCGAAGCTTTCTTTCTCGCTCGAGGCCGGCGTTGGAGGGCGCGGAGGGCGCGGAGGGTGCCTCGGCGTCCTCGCGGCGCGCTCCCGGCGAGCTTGCGCGACGCCGGTGCTTTTTACGCCGACGCCGACGCCGACGTCGACGCCGACGCCGACGCCGACGCAGCGCCGGTGGCTCGGAGTCGGCGTAGTCTGGGGCCTGGCGTCTCCCGATCGGGAACGGGAAAGCTAGAGGGAGCCGAGAAGGAGCGCAAACCGGGTTGTCCGTGGCTTCACGACGTCCGTGATCCTCGTTGCCGACGTCTCTCCGCCGTCGGGACGCCGAGAGCGAGAACGAGAACGAGGGAGAGACAGGGTGAAAGAGAGGGAGAGAGAAAGAGAGAGAGAGAGACTGCGTCGTCCGAGTCGCACGACGGGCCCAAAACTCGCGGTTAACAACAAACTAAACGATCTAGAACAGCACGGAGAACGAAAACAGTGGCGCGGTCTCGTTCGCCTGTTTCGCGTGGAGAGATTGCCAAGTGAAAAGGAACGAGAAAGGGTTGCGTGGGGGGCGAGGGAGAGCGAAGATATTGAAAACGGGAAGAGCCGGAGGAGAGGAGAAAGATAGAGGAACACGGAAAGAAACCGAACTCGTGGTGTTGTAAGGGTTAGCCGGCCGCGAACCACGGAGGAAAGAGGAAGAGGAGAGGACTGCAAGCTCTCGGGGGAGGGAGGGCGAAGCTCCGTAGAGGGGAGTCAGCAGGGGGGAGAGCTTGAAAGAGATAGAGAAAGAGATAGATAGATAAAGCGAGCTAGCTAGCGTGTGCCGCCTTGCGTGCCACGAGAGATAGAGCGAGAGAGAAAGAGAGCGAGCTAGAGAGAGATAGAGAGAGAGAGAGAGAGAAAGAGAGAGCGTGCGAGAGAGAAACAGAGCGAGAAAGAAAGAGCGAGCACACACAGAGAGGGCCTAAAGTCGAGAGTTAGGAGTTGTGGCTCGCGGTTAGATAGGATGCGTGTGCCTGGGTGCGGTGTTCCACCACCACCCGACAGCCGACGGTTCATCAACGACAGCACCAGCCACGTCTACTGCGGATTCGAAGCGGACAGGGACCGCCGGGCCCGGCTCGCATCGACGAACGCCGACAGGTGCGTGATCGCGCGGGACCAAGGGAGGAAGACGTCTCGCGGCGCACGCCGGACCTCCCCGTGCTGGACCACGGTCCCCTGGTGATCGTAGGCGTCCAAACACGCTGCCAGGACGACGCTGTTGGTGGGCACACGCTCGCTGGAGGACCGTCAGCAAGGTGCAAGCCGGCTCTATCAGCCTGTGCCGCAGCCGACGTCCCAGCTACTAATGTTCATCCCGGATACACTGAGGAGCTGCATGGTGGAACCGGATGTCTCGACTTACCTGCAGGCCCCTTCCGTAGGACAGGTGCTGTTACCATTTTACCATTTAACCGAACCGACCAGTGCTTCGTTCGCTTTGTCCGCTATTAACGCTTTCAGAGAGTGTGTGCGAGAGAAAGAAAGAGAGAGAGAGAGAGAGAGAGAGAGAGAGAGCGAGAGAGAGAGAAAGAGAGAGCGATGGTGTTTTCGGTGCGCCAGACCATGCCGCCCGCCGGGCCCGCGTGCCACGTTTTGACGCTTCCGCGTGTGATGCCTGCTAATGATTCCGATAGGTCCTCCGATGTTTTCGACTGTCTCTCGACGATGCTTCAGTTTGCGAGACCCGATACAACGATTCGGGACGCGGCAACGTGTCGGGATTGTTAGACTGTTTGCGAGAGATTCTCAAGTAAAATCGTGTGAC